GCGCCACTCGACGAGGTGTAAAAATTGCCAGCTAATTACGCTTGTAATAAAAAAAAGTAGCGAAAGCCATTTATGGTATTTTTATGATTGCATTGAATAATTACTTAATTACTTATGTATGTATATTTCCATCTATGGCAGCTGTAAGAGCTTTAAAACGGCAAAGCGTGGTGAAATCTGCCGCATACCCGGCTGTTCGGTATCGCCTGCAGCGCCGGGTACGCCCACGCCAGTGCGCCTGCCGCACGTCAACCCGGACGTCTTTCGGCAATTCATTGTTTACGTTTACACAGCGAAGGTAAAAGTAAATCCAATTTTAGAGATTTTGGAGAGCTTAAGATAATGCATTTATTACACTTCCTATTTCAGATTATGCTGCAAGATTCGCGTGTCTTTGAAATGATGACACTCGCTCAAGATATGGGCGTCGAAGAGCTGCGTGCGGCCTGTGAAGATCATGTGATTTCCACGTTGTCGGTGGACAATGCATGCACTTTTCTCACATCCGTTATGGAAATACACGAAAAAGCAGGTAGGAAAATTATCTACTATTTCATATTTATTTATTTGAAGTCAGATGGAACATTAATTTCACACTGACTATAGAATACAGTTGCCTAAAAACTAGTTAAAATAATTATACAGTAAGCTACGGCCTACTTCAGGCCACAAATACGGGTCCAAGTTACGAACAATATTTAATTCGGACAAGGCCCCAGAAATGGTAGAACATTTGATGTAATTAAACAACAGTTAGGGTAGGGCAGTCAACTGAATTATTTAGCAAATTAACTACAAAGCTGCAAGCGAGAGAGTAAGATCTGGACTGTAACGTTTTCAGGGATAGGATGTCACAAAAAAGTGAGAAATTTTAAGAAACGAACACAAAATTTGTTCACCGTTTGCCTTTATTTTAAAATCAAACAAAAAAAGAAAAAGCGGCAGTCAAAATGCGACATTTTGTGGTAGAAATGAAATCACCATAATGGTCTGATTATGGCAAATTAACGTAACTTGCGGTTCTCTCTTAAAAATTCTGTTAAATGGGTGTTGCTATAATTAAGGTGACCATATTTGTGGCAGCCGAATACGGGACATAAAATAACTTTCCCAATTTTTTCCACAATACCTTTTCCAATGATCCTAGATTTAATAGCCCTGAAACAGCGTCTTTATTTGGCATATATTTTTTTTACTTTTGTGAGAGCAGAACATACACACATACATATGTAAATATTCAGTTGTAACATCACGCAACTTTGTGCTCGGGATTTTTGCCCCAAAAAATTTTTTACAAACATTCCTAGGCAGGGAAACATGATGACAATTTCCGACTACTTTTGAAGTAGAAGCTGTTTTCAAACGATTATCTTCTGACTCAGCTTTTGACCAAGCACAACGCAGTGCACAGCATCCGGAAGAAGCTGAACTGCAAAGCGTATCTTTGAAAGGATCTAGTTCTCTTCGATCTTAAAGAACTTCTCTACTTTTACAACATTCTCCTGGTAGCCTTATTAGAGTTCCTCATGTTGAAGACATGACAATCCTTCATAAAATCACCACTAATAGCTTTGGCCTAGTTTCGCCTAATGAGTTCTTCTTCCACAAAATTTGGAGATTGCCATACCCCACAGCACATTGGACTGGTGATAGCACCAGAGCAAAAAACAGCAAGCTGTGTGTACTTTGTTGTTGGTTTTAGAATCCATATACGTAAACAAAGTTTGAAATTTTAGAGTAAACTGTAAACAAAACTGCCAATTTAAAGACGAATTTCTCGAAGAAAGTTAAATCAACAGAAGGAAAATGAAATGCTGCTAGTGAAATTTCTTTTAGAAATGTGAACAATAATCATTATCGTCCAATTTCTATTCAAACTCACAAATTCCCAGTTTTTCTACGCAAAATTATAACTTCTGAAGCCATCTCCAAACTAAGATTAAAAACAATTTTATTGAAAAGTACAAAAAACTACAAAAGAAAAATTAATAAAAATACGAAAACTAAACGTAAAAAAAAACAAATTATTCAAAAGTACAAAAATTAAGATTAAAAAATCTAAAAAATTTAAAAATACAAAAAATTTGGATCCACCATTTAGAATTTTCAATGTCTGATAGCATATTCGTGTTCAGCGATCCTACACTCAGAGAAGGAATCAAGTTTTTCGTACTCGGTCTTAGTATTTCCGAACTTAAAATTGGAATAATATTGAAAGTACTAAAATAGAGGACACAAATTTTATATTAAGTATGATATTTTTGAGTACCAAATACTTGAATTAAGATCATGTAAACTAAAAAAACTAAGTATATATCATTCATTTTTTCACGCGTCTTTTTGTGAAAATAGTGTTCATATACAAACATCTAACATTCTAAGTCGAAGTATGAAAGGTTGTGATAACCCAACATTTTTCTTTATAATGTTACTTAAAATAAAATACTCGTACTCATAGTAAAGAAATATCTTATTTGATTTGAGTGCGAACTTCTTATTTCAATATTGAAATATTTAGATTCCATATATGTGGCCAAAATTTTTGACAGTATTGAAGTATATGAGCGTTATGTTATTTTCGCGCCGTTTATATTGGATATCGACGTTCGCCATAGTGTTTATTGGGTAATTTTTTAAGATTTTTCAATGTATTTAATTTTTATATGATTTTTTTACTTAAAAAAGTTCAAGAGTTCTCGATACTACTCAGTACTCATGAAAATTATCGATATTCTGTATTCGGTACTCGTATCACTCCATCACTATCTATGAAGATATGTTGTCTTTAAAAGTACCCTCTTGTGTCAAGGAATCGATTTCCTGCAAAACAAGGAAGAAGTTCAAAGTTCATAAGTAGCTCGGCCAAATTCATAGAAAAATGTATAAGCGTCAAATATTTTTTTATTTTACTATTATTGATAAAATCGGTGTTTGAAATTCTCCTCCGGTCAAAAGGCTTTTCCATGCATTGCCAAAAAGTAGAAATTTGAAAACATATTTCTTAAGTATGAAATGAAATAACACTTTAAATTAGCCCCACTTTATGGATGAATTTTCACAAAAACTTTGATTGCTCTGCACTGGAAAGCGAGGCCTATTTCCGCGGATAATTAAGCTATGCCATATGTTCAGACAGATTAATTAAATTATGTTAACACATTTTCAAGCACCACATTAATAATTTTTATAAAGGATGAAGACTAACAATACAAAAGTAAAGAACTAACGTGCAATTAACAGAATTTAGAACAGAAGTTTTACTAGAGTTGTTAAAATAAAGATATGACATTTTTTAGTAAAAGCCATTGCTTAGTATTTATGCCAGGGAACTTAGATAGATAGAGCAGAGAACTTACATACATATGTACACATGTAAATTTTTTGCAAAGCTATCATTTTTTAAAATTGTATTTGCATCTTCATAAAAAGAGAACAAGTTAAAAATTTTAACAAAAATTACAAATTAATCAAAATTATATGAAGATTAGCCATATTTTCGTTTGTTTGCTCGCAACACGAAGAAGAGCAGATTTCATGTTGCTCAACATTTTATCATTCTCTGGTATGAATATACAAGCTCTCAACTATTCACACTGCTACTACACAATTTAGCAAACACTATTGGCTGAAAGCTGTTCCGACATGCGCCTAAACTCATGCCACCGAACCAAATAACCTTTTGTGCTTATTAGGGATTTATAAAGGGAACATAAATTAGGATGAAATATAGAGGGACGAAAAATGACCAACAAAAACTCCAATACTATATTGATGCAAATTTTCTAAACATGCAAAAATAGGAAGCCTGCAATTTACATACATAAATATACACATATAATTCTTTGGCTTTTTCGATTTACTCACCTTATAACTTTCACAAATTAGATGAAGATTGCACACTTCAATTTAATGAAAAAAAAAACTTGTTCGGGCCGGCCCGAGCCACTCGCGCACCCCATCGCAACTACATATTTATATCGCCACGAAAACTAAAATACACTGCTCGCGCGTATATTTATGTTATTTGCTAAGTAAAACACTTAGTTTTCCTAATTTTATAGAAAACTAAAACTTTTCACTTCATTAATCGCAAACATAAGCATTTTTAGAAACTTTAACACACACTCGACGGAAGCAATCGCGGTACTGTTGAAATGGCGTCGGAAATTGAGTGAAGCGCAGAGGTGTATTTACACAGTGAAATATGTGGCTAATAGGATGTTCACACTCTTGGTGTAGATTGACTAGGTTAAATATTAGGATTTGCCAAGCGGTAGTATATTTTAACAAAATTTTATTGAAATAATTGCGTATATAACTAATAAAATGCAGAAAAAACCAAAAAAATTATATATACAATTTTGTTTGCGTGAATGAACATAAATCGAAACAGGAACCAACCACGGTCAATCAATAAAAATGTGTAGAGTTTAATAATTGGTGACGACTACAGAATTTAGTGAAGAGATATGCCAATCTGATGGCAATATGTTTGTTATGCGTTATAAAAGCTCTCATTGAAAAATTAAAAGTACACTGGCCATAAAGTCATAATCGTAAGTTTACACTCATTCTTGTTAAAATAAAGTTTTGAGTTTAGAATTTTCAAGTTGTGTCAATCATAGACAACTTAGAAACAGCATTTTGCTAGGATGAGATAGAACAGAGCTATCCATATGAAGAGAAAATATTTACTCGGCAGTATAAAGAAATATGAGTAATTTAATTAGTCCACCCTGTGTCATATTTTAACCCGCCATCTGACAGGTGAATTTTCATAACAAGTTTCGACAGGTGGGGTGTCACAAACTCCATTGAAATAAAGCCTTTTATATTCTTAAGTATCTCGTTCTTCACTAAAATTTCTTTACTATTTTTAAAAATTAAGCTTTTTACGTGGTTAGCAATAAAAATATGTCCTGTTCTTCGCGAAAATGTCTTTACTATTTAAAAAAAATAAGCTTTTTTAAATAGTTACCAATAAAAATATGTCGCGTTATATATTAAAGCCACTTAGAAATCGCTCACAACTTGACTGAAGGCACTAAGAAAATTCCGATGCTGTGGTTTATTTCCCCCCACCTGTCAGATGACGGGTTAACACAATTTTTAATAAATACAGAAATATTTACATGGTAAAAATTATAAAATTTTATTTGTCTATTGTTCAAAAATATACTCTGCAAATAAATGGTTGGCAATTTATTTCAAGGTATAGGCATTGCTTGCCTTGAAGAATAACAGTATATCAAAATAATCAACGTATCACGGCCAAGTGAAAAGTAATGTTAGCATAAATTGGAATTTTTAAATCACAAAAATTTACTTTAAAAATCTTGTCAAAATATACAGAGTTTAATAATTGGTGACGATTTCATAACTTAATCAAAAGATAACAAGATAACAAAAGATTATCAAAGCCTTTATTGGAAAACTCTAAAGTACATATACTGACTTAATAAGAATTTAACACTTCATATTAATTTAAAAGCTAGACAAGTGCTTCTTTCCTAAACTTAATATTTGCCAATAAAAGTTTTCTAAATGCACTGAGCAACCCTGCCGAACTGAAGTTGTGTTTCAAAGCTTTCCATTTTAATTATCATGTTCAGCTTCAATTTAATTTAGCAGATGCCAGCCGGAGGTCCCATTAATTTCTATTGTTTTAAATTAAGTGCAGGCATTCTCGTTTTCCCCACTGTACGATTTTTTAAACTGTATTGAGTAAATCGCGGGAGTTCTTGCCATCACGGTTGCCATTTCCAATTTATTTTTCGGACCAAAAAATGGACCAAATATTAAAAAATGGACAAATTTTCATTAAATCGGGAAACTGAGTGGAGTTTATTCCTCTTTATCAAGAAAATATGTCAATTCAGTTTTTTATAACGTTTTTTTTTTTTATATTGCATCTAAAGTGCATTACAATTGTATTTTATTAACATTATATTATTTAATGTTTTAAAATATAATTTGTTCCTTAATTTCAGCTAAATCAAAAAATCTGCGCTCAGCGCTGCGGAACTGTGAGGCAGATTAAAAATTTTATGAACTAAGTCGCACAATTCTCCAAACGCCGCTTCACCCAATCCATTTTTAATCAAACTTACTTCATCTCAAAAACAATTTATCTTGGTACAGTTTTTGAAGTTACCTTCACTCAGCCTCAATTTGCGAAATTGAAGTTCAATTATGTCTGCATCATTTACCAATGCAGGAAATTGATCGAGTAGCGGCAAAATTGATACCCCAGTGTCAGAAAGAACTTTATGTGGTGTGATAATTTCAAGATTTTTAATATCTTATCGATTGAAATCGAATATTATTTTCATGTGCTAAATGCTATGATTAAGGTTTTGCTACATTTCCATATTCTTACCAGCTGCTTTAATATTGGTCGCCGAGTAATTGAAATTAGAAAGCTTGAAAATACGTTTGAAAGGAGCTACCACCTGTTCAATTAACTAATTCAAAAAGTATATGAAATATAAAAATACTGTAGTCAAACGAAAGAATGTTAAGAAATCTTTAGTTTGAACATTTCGAATGTTTAAAGGGAGTTGCTACGTGTTTAAAAAGTTACATTCGAATTATTCAATGAGGTGGATGAATTTCTAAGAGATTGGTATAAATCGAAATGGGTTTGAAAGGGATTTATTCTGGACCTTTATTTAGGAGGGTTGCCATTTGTTCGAACATATGTATCACAATGTCCGATAAAAGAGATTTAAGAAGATTTTTTGCTTTGAGAATACTTTTAAAAAGGAATTTCAAAAATGAGATTCATGATAAAGTTTACTTTTTTCGCCGGTATAGGGTGTTTTAAAATTCGATTAAAATAAAGTGGTCGGACTTCTACCACATTGTGGTAGATCTGCCACTTTCTTGAGCACCTACCACATCTACCATTCAAGGTCTGAGATCTACCACAACAACTTAAGAGCAAAAATTGTCCAACACTAAAAACTATATGGTAACAAGAATGATATAATACAAGATTCCTCATTCTCGGCGACGATAACATTTCTCAAGTAAAAGTAAACAAAGCCGAATGGGAGGATAAAATAAACTGTAAAATAGTAGATTTTCTCAATAATCAATTTTCCGACAGGAAACGATTCATTGTGTTAAATTGCAAAATATATGTTTTGTAAAAATAATCAATAGCGAAAATGTTAAAAAACGGTGATTTTGGTAAAAGTATTAGCAAATTTAAGTGCATCTAAAGTTTCTGAGGCGTTGTTTACTTTTAGTTGCGAATTTTCAAAATCGGCAAATCCCAATTAGCTGTTTCTGGAACGTGCCACATTTGTTCGCTACTTCGTGATGTGATAGAAAGAAAAACCGGCAGCACTCCGCAAGGTTGCATAATCTCTTCAAATATGTTCGAAAAATATCTTGATATGGGCGAAACTGCTTTACACTGTCAAGGAAAAAATTGCCAAACTCAACGCAATTTTTAGCAACTTCAATCTTGCATTGTATTATGCTAAAATTAAATTTGTTTTAGAGTCTTATTAAAAAGTTTGCAATTTAGGTGAAACCTTGCAGAATTTTCTTAATTTTTGTACAAAGCTTGATCCAAACCCAGAGATCTATCAGATTTTTTTGAAATCTACCACATTTTTTCCAGATTCTATCACACAGAATTTTTTAAAAGTCAGATCACTTATGCGAGACTGCTCTTCACTCAGAAACGGCTGCACGGTTTTGATGAAATATGGCACTCGGATCCCTTATAACTCTGACTAACATTTGGAATATTTAAGTTTTTGAAACCATCGAAAAGGAAAATAAAGTTAAAAATGGTAACGTCTTGATTATAAAAAGGCAATAAGATG